TAATAATAATAATAATAATAATAATAATAATAATAATAATAATAATAATAATAATAATAATAATAATAATAATAATAATAATATATCTGATCTGCAGTTTGTGCTGCAATTTTTAATCTTTTGTATACAAGCACTTCGGTTTGTTCTGTGGTTTCAATATTACAAGAAAAATGGTTGTACAGTGGTTCATGATCTGATTCAATATCGTTTAGAGCTTCTACTGTCTGTGCTCTCGTTTCCTGGATGCTACTGTGAGGAATGGAAGAATAATTTTTCGTGACCCCTCCTGCTTGATATACCCATGCTGTACGATGGTGACCCATTGTTGTGTGTTTCTCTGGTGTTTAAGAATGATGCATGTGGTCAATTCCCAAAAATCGAGAGAGTTTCACTTTCTCTCTCTTAATTGAACATTGTCTTCTCCGTGGTTATTTCCTGTAAATTTTATTTGGTGATTATCATCCCGTTTTTCTTAATACATTAAATGTTAATGCTGTTGCTCTTGTAATACATCCAGCTGATTCTTTTTTTTTTCTTTTTCTTTTTCTGTTTCTTTCTTTGACCCGAAAAGATCCGTTGTATGCTGCTTTCCATGATGAAGAATGGGGGCTTCCTGTGCATGATGACAAGTATGTATTATTACCTCCTTCTTGATTTACTTATTAGGCAATTATTTTTCAGTATCTAATTTTTCATTTGTCTGTGCTGTGATCTTTTCTCAGGAAGCTATTTGAGTTGCTAAGCTTTTCCACAGCATTGGCTGAACTGACATGGCCCGTTATTCTCAGCAAAAGGACCCTGTTCAGGTAAATTATCATATGCTGTGGTATTTTATGTAGATTATTAGTTGCCCTCTACGCTCAAAGATTTGGCAGGGTGCTAATTTATTGTGCAAGGTGTTGGACAGAGATGTTTTCCTGGACTTTGACCCAATAGCCTTGTCGAAATTCAATGACAAAAAATTGACCACCTCTGGAAGTCCTGCCAGCTCTCTTCTGTCTGAACTAAAGCTGCGATCAATTGTTGAAAATGCACGTCAAGTCTGTAAGGTGTGCTTTTTGACCTTTTTTTATCACTTGTAAATAGATAAACTTCAAGATGTATTTTGACAGCTTTCAGTTATTTTACTGATTATTATAATTATAATAAATATTGTAATGATCACTTCATCTCGGGGGAAATAATGTGCTGCTAGTCGCACATGATTGTGGAAATGGTCCAGCCATTTTCAGTTTCTTTGCTATTGTTCGGACTTTGTATTTATGGAAGACTGTTATCTTTCAGAAGTCGAATGGGATATCACCCGTGGTTCTTAGGATATAAGAACTTTCTTTTAGCAACTTACTAGCATTCATAAACTTGTTGGATGGTTTTCATTATCCCTTATACCGTAATCCATATATGCGCAGATAATAGAGGAGCACGGTTCATTCGACAAATACATTTGGGGTTTTGTGAACTACAAACCAATCGTTGGCAACTTCCGCTACGCTCGTCAGGTCCCGATCAAGACATCCAAAGCAGACACCATAAGCAAAGACCTCATCCGGAGAGGCTTCCGAGGGGTGGGGCCCACGGTGGTCTACTCATTCATGCAGGTTGTTGGGCTTACAAATGACCACCTTGTCAACTGTTTCAGACATCGGGAGTGCGTAATTGCTGGGGACTTGAGGGAGAAAGAAGCAAAGATTGAGGTGGGCCCACATGAAGATAGTGAAAGATTAGCTGGAGATATTGGTGACCTGAATATCTCCAGGTAGAAACTACTTTTTTTCCTGGCTTTGCTCGACTTTAGTGACCCATGTAATCTATAATTATGTGCCAGCGCTAGTATTAAGTACTGTGGATGGAAGTTCTTATGTATAAATTGGTATTTAATTATTTTGTTCTTTTGTTGTAGATTGGGATATTTGTCAACTCGAGGTGTAGAGGACTTGTGCAATAGAATTAAATCATCCTTGGTTCTTGCTCGATTTTTCTTTCTAAATTTGCTACTTTTATAAGCTATATATAAAGTGATATTTGGTGAAGGACTGCAGGACTTGAATAACTTCATGGATAACATATTTGGGCGAGAGAAGCGTCTTGCTCTGTTGCCAATTGCGCCATCAAGGCTTCTATGAGATTTTTGTACCACTCTATCGACTCGAAAAGCTACTGTCAAGTATCAATCTTTGATGTAGCTGTTTGAGTAAATTGACTAGAGTTTTTCCTCATCAGCACACATAAAAGCTCTTCCAGTAGGGCTTTGTTCCAGTTTCTACCATCCTCCTCCAAATGTTCTCCTATCTGCTTTGCACTTGCGATTTCTACTCTCCTATCTGCTTTGCACTAGGACTCCAAACTCTGAACTTGGAATCCGTGGATCAGTCCATATATGAGTTGACCATCCATTTTTGACTTGGACTCTGAACCCATTTATGTGTCTTTCTCTAACTCTGAGCCAATTGTTTCACATTCAAGAGGAATTACTACTCACCTTAGCTTTGAAAGATTGATCCTTGGCGAAAGTACTTTCCTTTCAGGATTCTACTAACATGCAGGTTTGGGCGACTGACAATTCTCCACAGCTGCTTCAAAATTAGAGCATCATTGAACAAGTTTATGTCCTGAAAACCAAGCCCACCATATTGCTCGGGGATAGTAACTGTAATACCCCGTTCGTTTATGAATAATTTTTTTTGGATTATTATTTATTTATATTATTTATTTTATTATTATTATTATTATTATTATTATTATTATTATTATTATTATTATTATTATTATTATTATTATTATTATTATTATTATTATTATTAAATGTCTAATTATTTTAAATGCCTATTATTATTATAAATATTATTGTGTATTATATAAATATATATGTATTTCCGTTATTTTTTTTGATAACGTTCAATCGAACCGAGCCCGAATATTCGTAAGTTGAGCCGTTGGAGAATTCGATCCAATGGGGCTCCATATAGTCGGCCCTTTGGTATTTAATATTGTTGGACCAATGTTTTGTACCCTTTTAGCCCAATAATCATACATGCCAAGGCCCAATTAAGCATAGCTTAGCCTTTTCCGGTTCCCGCACGTGAAGTTGAAAGAGTCTCTCGCCAGTTGCGATTTCCTCGCACGTTCGTTAACCCCGATCATTCTTATATCTCGGCAGAGGATCAGTTACTCTCAGCAACATTCAAATTAGTTCATCCATTTCCCGTTCTCTCAGCCTGCTCATCGTTTTAAAAAAAAATAAAAATAAAAAATAAATTAAGAATCAGCGTACCTGAAATTTCCGGCAATCTGCAACTCGATCGTCGACGTTCTCTCATCACAATCGATCCTCGCCCCGTGAAGCTCCATCCTGTCCGACCTAGAGCAACAAAGCAATAAACCGTCACAAAAGTTCCGCCCGCTATTGATTCCGGCGAGCACCTCTGAGCAGCCCCGCCGTCACCGACGTACACTCCAGCGAGCAGCTGTTCGTGAGTAGTTCCTGAAGTTCCGGGTCCGGTCGAGACTCCGTTCATTCCGTCTCGTTCCGACCTGTTTTTCTGATTTCTCGTAAATTCCCAAAGACGGGTATCCTTTCGAACCTCCTAATTAATTCCTGTTCAAGATGTTATTATTTCGTTTATTCTCGTTCGCGTGAAATCGTTCGATTATTCTCATGTTTGGTGAATCGTTTGTGGTTCGATTCTTTATTGTTTCGTTATGTTGTTGTTTCGTGCATTTTAACGTGGATTGGAACTCTCGTAGTACCCCTCATTTTGTGAAAATCGAGCTCCTAGTTGCTGTGATTATCTCGGTTTAAATCGGAGTCCCGTTTTGTCGTTTCGGAGTCTCGTTGTAATTTATTTCGGGGTCGTCTTGTTCGTTTGTTTTCAAACCGTGTTTCGACGTTTCAGTTTTCGATCAAATAAAACCCGTTTTTAAAATGTTTCAAACTATGATAAGACACATTTCATATATGATTGTTCAGAACCTGTGTTTGTAGCTTCTGTTAGGATTTTTTTTTTTCAAATTTTGGGCAGCCTCTTTTCGATTTCTGTCTGTTCAAATAGCAGGTTTGTTTTTCAAAATTCATTTATATATGTTTTCAATTAGAGTTGAATCCAGGCGTAGTGGTGCAGTGGTCATTACACTCATTTCATGTGAATGAGGTAGCGGGTTCTAAACTTGAAGCCCGCAATTTAATTTTTTTTCAGCCTTTCCCAGCAGCGCGGGCTTCACAGTCTGCGAGCGGCCAGCGCTCAGCCCGATTAACCTCCCCAGTAGTCTCAGCCCGCGAGCCCGCGCCCCGGCCCGCGAGGCCCAATACCCGCACCAGCCTCCTTAGGCTTCAATTTTCGTCCCAATTGCCTTAGCTGCAGCCCAAACTCGCACATAAGGCCTAACTGTTGGGCACTCTTTGGCCAGCATGTTAGCAGCTCGGCCCAATTGACCCTTTTTACCCTATTTTGAGTTTCGGAAGCCCTTTTTTCGTACCGATTTCAATTCTAAAAATTATTTTCAAATGATAAAATTTCAGGAAAAATTATTTTAAGTCCCGAGATTCTAATTTAGTTCTCCGAGTCCTAATCCGATTAAAACCCTTAAGTATTAATTCTTATTAAGTATAGGATTTATGTTAAATTCGATTAGTGAGATAGATTATTAATATATATTATCTCGCTTAAATGTAGGTGTTTGAGGAGTCGAGCCCTCGACCTACGTACTTGCTTTTGTGTGATATTCTACCACATTTTCCAGGTGGGTTTACTTATAAAATTGTCTATGCCATACGTGTTGTTTAATGTTTAGTTGGTATGACCAATGTATGAATGTGAACCATGTGGCATATCGATGCGAGCTGTTACGGCCGTCGGTACACTCATTTCATGTGAATGAGGTAGCGGGTTCTAAACTTGAAGCTCGCAATTCAATTTTTTTTTCAGCCTTTCCTAGCAGCGCGGGCTTCACAGCCCGCGAGCGGCCCGCGCTCAGCCCGATTAACCTCCCCAGTAGTCTCAGCCCGCGAGCCCGCGCCCTGGCCCACGAGGCCCGATACCCACACCAGCCTCCTTAGGCTTCAATTTTCGGCCCAATTGCCTTAGCTGCGGCCCAAACTCGCACATAAGGCCCAACTGTTGGGCACTCTTTGGCCAACATGTTAGCAGCTCGGCCCAATTGACCCTTTTTACCCTATTTTGAGTTTCGAAAGCCCCTTTTTCGTACCGATTTCAATTCTAAAAATTATTTTCAAATGATAAAATTTCAGGAAAAATTATTTTAAGTCCCGAGATTCTAATTTAGTTCTCCGAGTCCTAATCCGATTAAAACCCTTAAGTCTTAATTTTTATTAAGTATAGGGTTTATGTTAAATTGGATTAGTGAGATAGATTATTAATATATATTATCTCTCTTAAATGTAGGTGTTTGAGGAGTCGAGCCCTCGACCCACGTACTTGCTTTTGTGTGATATTCTACTGCATTTTCCAAGTGGGTTTACTTATAAAATTGTCTATGCCATATGTGTTGTTTAATGTTTAGTTGGTATGACCAATGTATGAATGTGAACCATGTGGCCTACCGATGCAAGCCGTTACGGCCGTCGGTACGGTTGTCCCCGTCGAGTTACGGTACGGTTGCCCTTGCGAGGCAAGTCTCCTTAAGACCTAATGAAAGGTCGTGTCCGTTATAGTGGCACGCACTCCCGTCGTTAGGGTTTATGCATCCCCTTTCTGTGGCTAATGATAGATGTGCACATGAGTGAGTTATTGTTGTGATTATTAGGAGATGAGACATGATGATGATTGGTTTATATTCATGCTGCGACCATACCATCTTTACATGTTATTATGTTTATAATAGTGAGCACTACTTTATTATTTGTGCTCATTTCCACCTGCTCTTCACGGATGCAGGTTAAGCAGTTGGCGGGTGACGAGGAAAGATGAGTGGGTGGTCCTTAGTTATTTTATTGCTTCCGTATTATCATGAACTAAGGTGCGACTTGTTGAAAATCCATTTCCGAACTTATGTTTTGGTTTATGTTGGATTAGAAACACTCATGATGTTTGGATTTATGAAATTCCAATTTATGCATGCTTTATGATTAAAGGTGAGTATTATGTTATGTGTTGAGAATCGGTTAATGAAAACCATTTATGAAAAATCGTGTTTATGAATCCCCGTGAGTCCAGAAAAGGCTTGGACTAAGTAAATTGTTGTTTAACACCCATGTATTGTGAATATGATTTCGAAAATTGTTTACTTGATTTTGGAAAGCTCGGGATTTCATTAAAATCAAAGTGGGGTGTTACAGTTTGGTATCAGGCCAGTCTGCGTTTCTGTAGACTGGTTTATATGTGATTATGTGTTTAGACCTTGTATTATGACCACTCGTCTCCGTCACGCCGCGCTGCTTAAGGTATGTTTGATTTAAGTATTAATAAAAATACTTGATATGTAATTGGTACACATGTGGCAATGAAACTACTTGTGCTGAACTTGTGATTTGGGGCTTAGGATCTATCCACCTTGATTGAATCGAACTCTATTGTTTAATGCGTACTCTAGACTTCTGTGATTATGACTTTTTTTTTTTTTGTTTTTGTTTTGTGCTAAACTTTGTTCGGTTTATTCAATGTAGAGCTATGAATACCCGTAACAACCATAACCGTCAGCCATCCATGTCTCTTTCCCCGCCTCCTCATCATCACCAGGCCTTCCGGCCACGAACCTTAATTACCCGGCTCATAGTCCAGTTTCAGAGAATGAATGCACCGACTTT